CTATGCAGTCCCTGGTTGACTCTTTGGTTTCAACAGTGAAAGGAGGAGGAAGAAGAGGAAGAATTGAGGAGAAGGAAAATGAAGGAAGAGTATAAGGAGAAAGGGAAGAGGAAGAGCTGGAGAGGAAAGGAGAAGAGAGAGGAGGGAGAGGTAGCGAGGGGGAGAGGAGTAGCTGGAGAAGAGGAGGAGGAGAAGAAAAGGAGAGGAGATTGATGAAGAAGGAGGGGAAGCAGAAGAATGGGCAAGAGGAAAACAAGTTAGTGAAGGAGATGGAGTAGAGTAGAGGAGGAGGAGAAAAAAGAGGGGAGGAACAAAAGGCAGGGGAGGGTAGAAGGAAAGGACTGAATTAAGAGAAAGAAAGAGGGAAGAGAAAAGAGGAAGAAGAGACATGAGAGGGGTAGGAGGAGATTTAGGGGAAGGAGAAAAGGGAGGAGGAGGAAAAGGAGGACAGTTTTAGGAAGAAGAAGAGGGGAAAGAGAGAAGGAAGAGATGGAGGCAAAGGATATGGAAAGAAGGAGTGGAGAAGGAAAGGGGGCAGAGGAAGAACAGTAGAGGGACTGGAGGAGAGGAGAGGAAGAAGAGAAGGTTAGGGAGAAGGAGGAAGAGAGGAGAGGGTGGAGAAGGGGAGAAGAAGATGAGGGATAAGAAGAGGGAGGAGGAGAGGAGAGGAAGGGGAGTAAGAAGAAAAGGAGGAGGAAGTGAATATGAGGGAGAGCAGGGAAGAAGAAAGAGAAGAAGAGAAAGGAAAAGAATAGAGAAAGGTGTGGAGGAGAAGGAAAGGGGGAGAAGAAAGGAGGAGGAAGAAAAGGGGGAAGAAGGATAAAGGAAAGAGGGAGGAGTGGTAGAAGAAGGAAAAATAGAAGGTGGAATATGAGAAGGGAAAGGTAGAAGGAGGGAAAGTGGAGGATGAGTAGAAAGATTTGAGGATGGAAGTGGAGGAGAAGGTAGAGGAGAAGAGAGGGGGAAGAGGACGATATGAGGGAAGAACAAGATGGATGAGGATCAGGAGGACAAGAAGAAGGTGAGGAAGAGATGAGGAGGAGAAACTAAAGGAGGGGAAGGAGGAGTGAAGAGAGGTGAATAGAGAATGGATGGGGTGGAGAAGGGAACAGGGAAGGGATATCCAGAGCAAAAAGTGGAAGAAGGAATAGGGAAAGGGAGGAGCATAAATAATAGGAGGAAAAGGTTGAGGAGAAAGGGGCAAGGCAGAGAAAATGGAAGAAGGAGAAGGAAAACAAGGAAGATGAAGAGTAGTAGAAAGGTTGGAAGGAGTGGGAGAAGAAGGAGAGGGAGAGAAGGGAGGAGAGGCAAGAGGAAGAGGAGGATGGGGAGGAAGGAGAGTGTTGGGTTTCAGACCTGGCTTTGTCCAGGCATGCTTAGGATGGGAAATAGACTGAGCATGGGCAGGGCCAATGGTGGATCCCGAGTGGTAATGAATACAACAGGGGAAAAAGACACCCTGGAGGCTGTGTCAGTGAACAGCTCTTGTTTACTTGCAGGGGCCAAGGGATATTTCTAACCTAAGAACAATAGCTTGTTGGATTCTTGGGGTGGTATGTTGTTAGTTGGGGTGAGAACCTTGAGGGTACTTCATTCATACACTCAGGGGCAACAGTGGCCAGAGGAAGGAAACTCATAGTCTCAGGAAGTCCAGTTTGTGCTGCTTCAGATGTCAGATAAGCAGCAACCAGTTACTGTAGACTTAGAGAGGCTTATCAGTTGCTATGTGCATTAGGGCACATCCACAGGAAACATAACTGCTTGGGGGGTGCTGGCATCTGGTAAGGGGATGGGGTAAACAAATTCCTGCTGCTCTCAGCATGGGAACCTCCAGGGATTTAGGCATGCTTAGACCCCTTAGCTTCAGGCTAGCTCTGAAGGAGAGAATGAAAAAAGAAGGGGAAGATGAAGGTAGGCAATAAGGAGGGAGTGTGAGAAGGAAGAAAGGACAAGAAGGCAAGGGAGAAGGAAAGAGAAGGGAAAGGAGGGGAGGTGGAAAAGAGAATGAATGAGAAAGAAGGAAATGAGTGGGAAGAGGAAGAGTTGGAGGAGGGAAGAGGAAGAGGAGGGAAAGGAGGAGGATGGGGAAGAGAAGAAGAAGAGGGGAAGGAGAAGGAGGGAGAAGAAAAGAGCAGGGGAAGGAGGAGAGAGGAGGGGAAGGAAGAGAAGAGGCGAAGGAAGAGTGGAGTTATGCAATTGTGGTCCACATGCAGAGAGGGCCTAATTTGCCTACATTTAGGCTTCTCAGCACTAGGTCTAGAATCCATGAGCTGACAAGCCTAAGTCGGCTGTCTTTGTGGGTTTTCCTGTCATGATAGTGAACCCCTTTGGTCATATGTTCCCTTCTCCCTCTCTTCACCTGGACCCCTGCAACCTAGTGCTTAGCTGTGGATCTTTGCATCTGCTTCCATCAGTTAATGGATGAAGGCTCTGTGATGACAGGGTAGTCTTCCATCTGATTACAGGGGCAGGCCAGTCCAGGCACCCTCCGCACTATTGCTAGGAGTGTTAACTGAGGTCATCCTTATGGATTCCTGGGAGTTTCCCTGGCACCAGGTTTCTCCCTAAGCCCATAATGGTCCCCTCTATTAAGATATCTCATTCATTGTTAAGACACCTATTCTTCCTCACTGATGAGATGCTGGAGATGACACATCTTTTTTTTTTCTCCCTCTAGGCTGCAGGAACCCCAAGCCCAGAGCTTCTCCACACCCTTGCACTCAGGATTGAAGAGTAAGAACCAAGTGTTTTAGGCAGAGAAAGGGTCACAGAACGAAGTTGAATTAATCAAAAAAGACAAACAGGGCATGCATGCCTTTAATGCCAGCACTGAGGAGGCAGAAGCTTGGGATGGATCTTTGTGAGTTTGAGTACGATCTGGTCTTTAAAAGGAAAAAAAAGTAAAAAGGAAGCCCTCTCGCCCTGCCCAGGCGCCATCATTATGACATCAGAGTGGTGGTCCAATCATTTGGCTATGGAACATAGTAAATTTGCATAAGACCACCGATTGGTTGAAAGGCCTAAGCCCGCCCCCAAGATGACGTTTGTGTACAGATAGTTGCCAGAGAAACAAGACTTTGCGCTGGCGGTTGGACGTGCAGTAGTGGAGCTCCTCACTCTTACTCCTCTGGCGTCCTTAAAATGAGCTAAATTTGATAGACAACCAGGAAATTGGATCCTGGTTGTAGAACTAATAGAGACTACAGACTTCTGGGATGTGTTCCCAGGCATTTTTTCCAGACAATCACAGGAAATCTGGGAATTCATTTGTTCTTTGAAGATAAAGCCAGAAGATTGCTTCAATGAGTTCCGTTAATGAAAGTTCTTATGTTGGTGAGCAGCATGTTGCTGAAAGTGATGACTTCATGCAGCTGACACCAATCAACAGGCTCGACATGGAGGTGACAAATAGCTCCACAGAACAGACGTCAGCCGAGACAACAAATATTCAGTCACCTCTTACAGGAACACCATGGGGCTGTCCAGCCACAAATTGCCTCTCAGTGGAGAGAGGTTGCTCAGATGAGAAATCCTGCATAGTAGAGAAAAATCCCTCCACTGAGAAGTGTGGCATGAGAACGAGACTACATGTAGCTAAGAAGTATTACGTTATGCTTAAGACACCGTTGATTGAGAAGATTGTGCTACAAGACTACAATTGTGTTAATGAAGAAACTCCTGCTATAGGGGAAAAATCCTCTGCAAGAAAGTACGAGTCCAACAAGCAACTCTCTGGGAAGAGGCATCGCGTTTCTGAGAAAAGTCTCTCATTCAAGAAGCATCTGTCGGCTGAGAAAGATCTTCCTAAACACAGAGATTGCTTTAACAAGAAAAGATGGTTTACAGAAAAATTTCGCTCTGCAGAGGAAGTTGTTTTGGGTCAGAGAGATTCCTATGGCGAGAGAGGCCACCCTTTTGAGAGAGGTCAACCTGCAAAGAACGATCTTTCTACTAAGAAGAGTACATCTCCTCGGAAATTTCACTGGGATGCGAGACGACCCTCTTGGGAAAACCATTACCCTCAAGAAAAACATCGCTCAGCTAAGAAACTTAGCTGCACAGAGAGAGATCGCCAGATAGAGGGAGACCGTTCTGTGAAGAGAGGACTCTCCACAGGGAAAGATCACCTTGTAGGGAGAGGTCAGCCTGCTAAGAAAAGTCACCTAGCAGAGAAGGCTTACTCAGCAATCAAGAGTCGATCTGCAGGGAGAGGTCACCCCATCACAAGCCGCCCTGCAGAGCAGGGAAGCTCAGTTGACTGGGTTAACTTGGCATGGAACAGACTCTTAGCAGGTGAAGATAGCCCTACATGGAGAGGTCGCCGCGTCCAAAGGTGTCCTATAGTGGAGGGTCACTTGTTGGAAAGGAATTACACCGTGGAGAAAAGACCTTCCACAGGGAAAGATCACCCAACATGGAAAAGTCGACCCCAGAAGAAAAACAGCCCTGTAGAGGAGGGTCAGTCAACAGACAGGGGACACTCTGCATGGCAAAATAGCCCCACAGGAAGAGATAGGCTTCCAAAGAAAAGCCACTGTGCAGAGAAATATCTATCTGCAGAGAGAAGTTGCTCTCTCAAAAAGAGTCGCCCTGTAGAGAAAGACCCATCTTCCAAGAGGATCCACTCTGCAGGGAAAATTCACTCGGGGGAGAGAGGCCACCATGCTAAGAAAAAGAGACACCACTCTGCCAAGAAAGGGAGCATGGAGAAGAAATTTTGTTCTGGGGAGAGTGCTGAGTTCCAAGTGAGGAACTACACTGGTGAGGAAAGTAACACAGGAGAAAATGCGTGCTCTGTGCAGGAAGGCCATCACTCCATGGAGCAAAGCTTTCATGTAGATCCCTCTCCAGGATCCATGCCTATGGTGCCAGTGCCAGAGCACGTGAAGAATACTCCAAAAAGCAGAATGGGCAGTGCTACCAGCCAAGAAGCCCACGTCTCTCACCAGTATGTTGCTGAGGCTGTCAGCACTGGTCAGCCTATGCAGGCAGTGAATATGAGAATGGAAGTTGAATTGAAGTTACCTTCAGTACTAAAAGCATGTCTTGTTGAGGACTGGGACTTGGTAAACAAGCAGAAGCAGTTATTCCAGCTCCCTGCTGAGAAGAATATAGATTATATTCTCGCAAACTATGTGACTTTCGTGAAATCACAGGGAAAGTCTGATAATAGAGAATATTCTGTTGATGAACTTGTGTATGGGATAAGAGAGTATTTCAACAACATTCTGAGTACCCAGCTGCTCTGCCAGTTTGAAAAACCACAGTATGCTGAAATCCTCCTTGCTTACCCAGATGTTCCAATGTCTCAGATTTATGGGGCTCCACATCTCCTGCGATTATTTGTGAACATTGAGACTACATTGGCCTATTTGTCTCTTAATAGCCACAGTCTTATGTCAGTGTCCAGCTATATGCAAGATTTCCTTAATTACCTAGCAGAGAATTCCACTTCTCTGTTTAATGTGAGCAATTACAAAGTGGCTTCGGTCGCATATTGCTTCAAAGCCCTGTGAGGGTCTGCAGATCACTTTGCTATGACATAGAACAGTAAACATTTCTATCTTTGCTGTTTACATTGTGTATTTAATGTTCTTGAAAACTATCTAGGTACACCAGGGCTTAATATTTCAGGTTGCATATTGTTATGAACAGAAATAAAAACATTAAATGTTCAACAACAAACAAATGTTCACTAAAAATTTGTGTTGCTTATTTGACAATATTGATCGAATGTTGGTGCTTTTGTCCCTTCCACATCATGAAATTCTACTAGGTGTTCATATTGCATGATATTCCTAGTGCCAAAGGATCAACATAATGGATATACTCCAAAGACGTGCATGCACATAATCAAAAATCTGAAATTTTTTAAAAATGTATAAAAGACTGAAGATATAGCTAAGCAGGCCTTGGATCATTCCTTGGTTTCAACAGTGAAAGGAGGAGGAAAAAAGAGGAGTGATGGAGGAGAAGGAAAGGGAAAAAGGGTATAAACAGAAAGGGAAGAGTAGGAGCTAAAGAGGGGAGAGGAATAGGGAGGAGGGAGAGGTATAGAGTGTGAGGAGATGAATAGGTGGAGAAGAGGAGGAGGGGAGGATCAAAAAGGAGAGGAGATGTGGAGGAGGGGAAGGAGAAGATGGAGGAGGAAGACAAGATAGGGGAGGAGAAGAAGGGAGAAGTAGAAGGAAAAGAATAGGAGGGGAGAAGGAAAATAAGGAAGAAGAAAAGGCAGAGAAGGTGAGAAGGAAGAGGAGGGAAATGAAGAGAAAGAAAGGGGAAGAGAAGAGAGGATGGAGAGGATCAGGAGGAGTTGGAGGAAAAAGAAAAGGGAGGAGGAGGAAAAGGTGAGGATGGGTAGGAAGAGAAGAAGAGGGGGAAGAGTGAAGGAAGAGATTATTTAAAGGATAAGAGGATTGGAGAAAGAAAGGGGAAGAGGTGGAACAGAGAGAGGAGGGGAGAGAAAGAAGAGAAGTTGAGGGAGGAGAAGGAGGATGAGAGGAGAGGTAGGAGAAGGGGAGAGGATAAAGGGGTGAGGGAAGAGAAATATGGAGAAGGAAGAGGAGGAAAAGGAGTGGGAGGAGAAGGGGAGAAGAAGATGGTAAGGTAACAGATAAAAAGAGCAATGAGGAAAGAGAGGACAGTAGGGGAGAAGAAAAAGAGGAGGAAGAGAAGATGAGGGAGAGGAGGATAGAAGAAAGAAGGAGAGAAAGGAAAAGGATAGAGAAAGGGGTGGAGAAGAAGGAAAGGGGGAGGAGGAAGGAGGAGGAAGAACAGTGGAGGAGGAAGGATAAAGGAAAGAGGGAGGAGGAAAGAGGGAGGAGTGGTAGACGAGGAAAAGAATAGAAGGTGGAAGATGAGAAGGGGCAAGGGGGAGGAGAAGGAAAGGAGGAGGAGGAGTAGAAAGATTGGAAAAAGGAGGGCTAGGAGAAGGTGGAGGAGAAGAGAGGGGTAAGAGAAAGATATGGGGAAGAACAAGAAGGAGGGGAGGAGGAGGATAGGAAAAGGGGGGAGAAAGAGACGAGGAGAAACTGTAGGAGGGGAAGGAGGAGGGAAACGAGGGGAATAGAGAAAGGAAGGGGTGGAGAAGGAAAGGTGAGAAGGGTAAAAGGAGAACAAGAAGGGGTTAAGGAATAGAGAGGGAGGAGAGGAAACAATAGGAGGAAGAGGCTGAAAAGAACAGGGCAAGGCAGAGAAAAGTGATGCAGGAGAAGGAAGACAAGGAAGAAGAAGAGTAGGAGAAAGTTTGGAAGAAGCACTGGGAGAAGAAGGAGAGGGAGAGAAGAGAGGAGTGGGTGAGAAAGAGGAGGATGGGGAGGAGGGAGAGTGCTGGGTTTGAGCCCTGACTTCGTTCCTTCATGGTTAGGTGGGGAAATAATCTGAGCATGGGCAGGGAAAAAGAAGGAACCTCAGTTTTCATGAGGACAACAGGGGGAAAAAGACACACTGGAGGCTGTGTCAGTGGACAGCTCATTTATTAGCAGGGGCCAAGGGATATTTCTACCCTAGGAAGAATGGCCTGTTGGGTCTATGTGATGGTATGTTGTTGGTTGGGGTAAGAACATCGAGGGTACTTCATTTGTACATTCAGAGGCTACAGGGGCCAGAGAAAGAAACTTCATAATGTCATCTGAAGTCCAGTTTTGGCTGTTTCAGATGTCAGGTAAGTAGCCTTGGAGATCCATGAGCTTGTCAGTTGCTATGGGCATTGGAGCATGTCCACAGAAAACAAATGCTTGGGGTCTGCTGGCATATGGGCAAGGGGGTGGGACAAACAAACTCCTGCTGCTCTCAGGATGAGAAAATCCAGGGATTTAGGCATGCTTAGACCCCTTATCTTGAGGCTAGCTCTGAAGGAGAGGATGAGAAAAGGAGGGGAAAATGAAGCAAGGCAATAAGGAGGGAGGGTGAAGAGAAAGAAAGGACAAGAAGGCACGGGAGAACAAAAGAGAAGAGAAGGTAAAGGAGAGGAGGAGGAAAGGGGAATGAAGGAGAAACAAGGAAATGAGTAGGGAGAGGAGAAAGAGAAGAAAGGAGGAGTGGGAGGAGGGAAAGGAGGAGGATGGGGAAGAAAAAAGGAGGAGAAGAAGTGGGAATGACAAGGAAGAGAGGGCAAAGCACAGGGGAGGGGAAAGGAGATGGGAGTTACACAATTGTCACCCACATGCAGAAGGCCTATTTCGGTCCCTTTCAGGCTTTTCAGCTGTGGGTCTAGAGTCCATGAGCTGACAAGCTTGGGACTGCTGTCTCTGTGGGTTTCCCTGTCATGATCTTGAACCTCCTTGGTCATATAATTCATTCTCCCTCTCTTCAACTGGACCCCTGGAGCCCAGTGCTTGGCTGTTTATCACTGCAGCTGCTTCCATCAGTTAATGGATGAAGGCTCTGTGATGACAGTTAGGGTAGTCTTCCATCTGATTACAGGGAAAGGCCAGTTCAGGCACCCTCAGCTCTATTGCTAGGAATCTTAGCCTGGTTACCCTTGTGGATTCCTAGGAGTTTCTCTGGCACCTGATTTTTCCCTTACTCCTTAATGGCCCCTTCTATTAAGATATCTGTTTCATTACTGTCTTTCATCATCCCACTCCCAACTGGACCATCCTTATCCCCCATGTTCCCATTCCTGCACCCTCCCATTCCCCCATTCCCTCTCCCATAGTTCCACATTTCATGCCCAGTTTATCCTGGATATCTCATCTATTTCCTCATCCGAGAGAGATCCATGTGTCCCTCTTAGGATGTTCCTTGTCATCTAGCTTCTCTGTGGCTGAAGACTGTAGCCTGGTTAGCCTTTGCTTTACATCTAATATCTACTTATGGGTGAGTACATACCATGTTTGTCTTTCTGTGTCTGTATTTCCCAGATTTCTTTTATCAGGTTCAATGTATCTGGTTTTATGTTGGTGTCTTTGATTTACTTGGACTTGAATTTTATCCACAGTGATAAGAATGGATCTATCTGCATTCATCTATATGCTGTCACCCAGTTGCTGATGATGCTGTCTTTTTTTCTATTGTGTATTTCTGGCCTCTTTATTAAAAATCAGGTGTCCATAACTGTGGATTTTTTGATCTACTGGTGTTTCTTGAGCCAGTACCATGCTATTTTTATTGTTATAGCTGTGTAGTCTATCTTGAAAATGGAGTTGTTGAAACCTCTAGCAGTTCTTTTGTTTTCCAAGATTGTTTTCATTATCCTGTGATTTTTTTGTTTTTCCATACAAAGTTAAGAATTTTCCTTTCAAGGTCTGTGAAGAATTGTGTTGGAATTTTGATGAGGTTTGCATTGATTGAGATTGCTTTGGGTAGCATGGTCATTTTTACTATGTTAGCCCTACCAATACATGAGCATGGGAGATCTTTACATCTTCTGATATTTTCTTCAATTTCTTTCTTCAAAAACTTCAAGTTTTTAATCATACAAGTCTTTCACGTGCTTGGTTAGAGATACTCAAGATATTTTCTATTACCTGATGCTATTGTGAAAGGTGTTGTTTTCCTGATTTCTTTCTCAGTTCAATTTTCTAAAGTAAGAGAACTACTGATTTTTACAAGTCAAATTTGTATCCTGTTGCTTTGCTTAACATTTTTATCTGCTGTAGTATTTATCTAGTGCCATTTTTTTGCTCATTCATGTATACCATCTACAAATAAACATACTTTTTTCCATTTCTATTTACATCCCCTTGATCTCCTGTAGTTGCCTTATTGTTCTAGCTAAGACTTCAATTATTATATTGAGTAAGTATGGAGAAAGTGGACAACCTTGACTTGTTTTTTATTTTAGAAGAATTGATTTGAGTTTTTCCATTGAAATAAATGTTGGCTATAGGCTTGCTGTAATCTGCCTTAATTATGTTTAAATTTGTCCCTTGTATTGCTAAAGAGTAGAGGGGAAAGAAGAGGAGATTGTACAATTGTCACCCACATGCAGAGGGCCTATTTTGTTCCCTTTCAGGCTTTTAAGCTGTGGGTCTAGAGTCCATGAGCTGACAAGCTTGGGTCAGCTGTCTCTGTGGGTTTCCCTGTCATGATCTTGAACCCCCTTGGTCATATAATCATATAATCATATAAAAGTCTCCAGGACTTTTCTCATGAAGGGTTGCTATATTTTCTCAAAGTCCTTTTTCTGCATCTCATGAGATGATCATGTGATTTTTTTCTTTTAGTTACAATTAATGATTTTTGTATGTTGAACAATCCCTGTATCTCCAAGTCTACTTTATCATGGTGGATGATCTTTTTGATGTATTCTTGGATTTTATTTGTAAGTATTGAGTATTTTTGCAACTCATTCATAAGGAAAATGTGTCAATGTGTTTGTAATTCTCTTTTTTGTTGGCTCTTTATGTGGTTTGGGTGTCAGGGTGACTGTGGCACTGTAAAATGGACTGTTTCTATTTTGTGTAATAATTTGAAAAACTGTTAAGAGTTCTGATTTAAAATCATCTGACCCTAGGCATTTCTTTTTTGTTTGGAAAATTCTTACTTCTATTTACCTGGGGGTTATATGTCT